GAAGAGCAAGAGCCCTGGGGCTGGTTGCTCCCTCACAAGAGCTGATGAGCACCTTACTTTGCATTTGTCCCTTTATGAAATCGAATTATGTTTTACTTTTTTTTGGGGGGGGTTGGTGCTGGGGATGGAACACCCAGAATCTCATCATGGGTGCTAATCGTGCATTTTACCACGGGGTTCTAACTCCAGCCTCAGTTTACCAAAATGCATAATGCTTTCCAAAAAGTGACCATCTGAATTTTCTTTATCCTAGAGGCGGGGAAGAAACTGTACAATTGTTTCCTGATTTGTGTAATAACTTGAACACCCTGCTAAGGATTTAGGGCCAGGGTTGGGGTGGAGGGGGAATTCAGGGGTACGGCTCCAGTTCCCCCACTAAAGCTGTTGCTTCCCAGTTCTTTGTTTTCATCAGGTACCCCTGGGGATTGGCTCTGGAGCACCCCCATACCCAAATCCACACCTGCTCAAGTCCCTTATATCACATGCTGAGTGTCTGCATAGAACCCGTGTGCCGCCCAGATATTTAACCATTTCACAGCACTGCACTGCAGATGAGACAAAGTCAGCTGTGCTTTTTGGAAGTTTTGAATTAAAAAAAAATTTTTTTTCTACCCAAGGTTGGTTGAATGGAGAGGCTAGCTACTCTGCCATGGATGTAGATGGTAGACCCAGAACAGAATCATACAGTAAATACAATGCAAGTGCTTATCCATGCAAGGTTGCAGACAGAAGTCTATCAGAGATTGCATCCTTCCCCAGCAAATCATCACAGCTGGAGTGCCCAGAAGACACCTCATTTTCAGTGAATGCACACACTCAAAGCACATACCTGTAATACCAGCAAAGAATCATACAATTAAATCAACACCTGGAGTCTAGATAAATCCCCCAACCTCAAGTTACATGAAGGAAGCCACATCATAAAAGCAAGCATGCAGGATGACTCTACGTGTGCAGCTTTCAAAGTAAGATGAAATTGGATCACATTGTGAAGGGATGGGTCCTTAATAATGAGAGTCCTGAGAGTTAATAACTCGAAGGGCAGAACAGCTGCTGGCTCTTCTGGACAAAGGTGGGGGCATCCTCCTGGCACTGGCAGCTGGCACTGTGCCCTGCCTTGAATGCATCTCCCCTGTGCCCATTTTATAGATGTTCTTTGAACTGAATACCCACTCCTCTAGATGGAATTTTAAAAATAAAAAGGCATGTAACATCTTACCCAAAGGGAGTCACAGAGGTCCAGCCCTTAATCTTAGAGCCTAGGAGACAAACCCAGAGAGGAGAGGAGGCTGACGCAAAGTCTATAGAACCAGGACCAGAAGGAGAGAAATCCTAATGCACCACCAACATCTACTTAGCCAGGCTTCTTCTTCAATGTGAAGGGAGGAAGAAGGCCCTAAAGTCTGAGAGCTGCCATGTTTTGTAACAAAGTCGCTACAACTATTGTATCAGCTGGCCAGCTGCTACATACCAGCAGCTGATACAAATGATATACATCCTTTTCAAAAGGACTTTTTTTTTTTCAGATTCTAAAAAATTCTGCCGGCTCTCCAACCAGGCTGGGCATTGGTGCCTCATACAATCAATCCTAAGCTACCCAGGAGCCTGAGATCTGAGGATCGAGATCTGAGGCCAACCCAGAAAGGAACATTTATTACATTTCTTTCTTCTGATGAACCATCCAAAAAGCTGTAAGTGGTGGTAGACCACCAGCCTTGCCTGAAAAAGCTAAGGGATAGTGCGTAGGCCCTGAGTTCAAGCCCTGGTACTGGACAGACAGACAGACAGACAGACAGACAGACAGACACACACACACACACACACACACACACACACACACACACACAATCTGGCCTAGTTAGCCTCTGCTCCATTGGACTTGTAGATGGCTTGGAAGGAGCCAGCCTGAGGGGGGGCTGGGCAGGAGTGGAGAGATGGAGCCAGGAAGTCTGTGAATGTATTGACTTATCCACCTGGCCTAGGTGAGGCCCCTGGCCCAGGGACCGTGAGGCCCAGAGCCTGCGCTATCTCCCTGAGAGCTTTTTTTGTTTTGTTTAGAGGTCAATTACTTCCCATTTGGGTAACTTGTGAACATTAAGAGGTGACCAGAGTGACAGGACTGAAGGATGCAGATAAGAGGCTGGCTGGGAAGCGCCTGGCCCAGGATAAGCAGTAGTGAGGAGGAGACACACAAAAGAAGCAGCTTTCAGGGTGAAGAGAGATTACAGAGATGGAAGACTGGGGTGGGGGTGGGGAGAAGAGGGGTGCTTGGTGGGCTGGGGGGGGAAGGAGTCCTTTTAAAGGGACCCTGCCAAGCGGAGTGGGGAAGTCTGGAGGAGGGAGTTTTGTGCCTTTGCTCTCTTTTCCTTTGGTGTCAGGGGAAGCCCAAAAGTCACTGGGATCTGGAAAAACAAACACAAAACCACATGGGTTGCACAGGAATCAGCTTATAGAGATTCCACCCCCATCTAGAATTTAACCTGATGAAGGCCGGTTCACGCCCCAGCCACCGCTGTGTGAACTGGATGTGAAGTGTCCGTTGCCCACGTGCTGTGCGGACAAAGGGAGCCAGCCAGCAGCTCAAGGCTCGGGGCGCTGTGCCCAACCAGCCCTTCTTCCTCTCCTCCTGCACCCTCCATCCACTGAACACAGCTCACAAAGTCCCAGATGTCAGCCTTGATCTGTGTGGAAACCCAGTAGGAAATAGGACTCTGGCTTGGATGGGTGATCTACTTGCTGCCCTTGCAGTCCTAGACCTCTTCCAGAGCCTCTCCCAAGTAAACAGCCTCATTCCCACACAGGCCTCCTCTCTGCAGCCTTCCTTCCTAAACATGCCAGCTCCACCTGGATCTTCCTTCTCTGCTTGGAGCCTGTGGTCAGCTCGATTTGACACATGGCCTCCACCACCTAGTATTTTTAGATGCTCTTCTTGCCTTGGTCTTTGCTAATCCCAGTTAGATAGTAAGTCCCACTAGGGTGGCAGCCATATCTCTGAATCTCTGTTCCCTTCCAAGAATGTGCAGCAGAGGCTGAGTTGCTGAGGCCCAGGCCCTGGCCCCTTCTTTCCCTTCACTCTGAGTCCAGCCTTGGCTTTTCTCAGGTGGCACATGGAGGTGTGCACAGGGCTGGGAGTCTTCTGGGCCTATGCAAACCCTCAGACAACCAGTAGCTGTGACTGCTCTCATGACTCCCCTGTGCTAGAAGGGAGTGAGAGGAGAAGGGGGTGACATTTATTCACTTCCCACTCTGTGCCAATGATAAATACCATAATATAACAGAGGGTAGGGACCTTCCTCCAAAGGTGATTTGCTTATTTATTGCTTTGGAGGTACTGGGAGATTGAAACCAGAGCTTGAAACCAGTGCTAGGCAAGCACTCTGTAGATGAGCCATATTCTTGGGGGGTCCGGTCATGGGCCTGAACTCTGGGCCTGAGCGCTGTCCCTCAGCTCTTCAGCTCAAGGCTAGCACTCTACCACTGAGCCACCTTCCTAGCCCCAGATGAGCCATATTCTTAACCCTTGGAAGATGTTTCTTTTACAGGTTAACATATAAATACGTTCTATAAATGTGACAAAATACCATATATAGTATTTTGGTATTTATCGAAGTAAATGCCAAGAAATGGAAATGAGGGTTTTAAAAAAATTGTTGCTGTTTTTGTTTTCTTTTTCTTTTGTTTGTCTGTCTGTCTATGGGATGGGAAGGGGGGGACACAGAAATGTAGGGACAAAAGGTAAACAAAGGTAGCAATAATACTCACTGGACACTGTTGAAAGTGAACTATACAACTTGTGGGCGGGGACAGGGGAAACACTGGGAGAGAGCAAGGGAAGAGGGGACATTGTCCAAAAAGAAATGTATTCATTAGGTAACTTCTGTCACCATAACCCCTCTGTGTATCACCTTTCCAATAACAAGGAAAAATGAAAAAATATAGTATTTTGCCATCTGATTATTATGAGGAATAATCTCCCAAGGGAGAGAGGGAGGGAACCTTACCTGGAGATCACACAGGTTGAAGCTTTTCATAGTGATCTCTGTTCTTTCTTCTTTTTCCTTCTTTAATTTAGTCGAGGAGATCTCTTATTGAGATCTCCAAATCTGAAGAAAACACGCTTTTTAATCCCAAGGACACAGTGTTAATGAAGAGACACTGGCTGTGTTTCTAAAATACTCTTTTATTATTGGTGAAGATGGAGAAGTGAAAAGCGGCCAGGAGAGCAAAGAGAAAGAAACCTGGGGGAGGGGCGCTGGAGTAAGAAAGCGCAGGGGCAATTGCTCTTCACTCCCCACCTCCAGTAGGTGAAGGGGGTGGGATCGAAGCTATCCAGCCATAGCTGGTACCTGATTCTAGTTGTCAGACCAAGCAGTCTCTGTTTCCCGCTCAGAGTGAATAACTGTCAGAGAAGACAAAGGGCAGAGGTAGTGTATTTTAATTAATCGAGAGAAGTTGTTAAATAGTATTATTTAACCTCGGATGGGTCAGTGGTCCAGGGAGGACAAAGGACCAGAGTTTTCATGGTCTAACGCTGTCTAAAGACGATAATAAGATGACGATTTGGGGGATCTGTGTTTTTAGGATTTGCCACGTGGAGGGGGTGCCCCTTTCCCGGTGGGAATTGCGACATTGCCTTTCCAAAGGAGCCATACAAAGAGGGAGAAAGAGATACAAGAAAACCAATCAGGCCGGGTGCTGGTGGCTCACGCCTGTCATCCAAGCTACCCAGGAGGCTGAGATCGGTCATTCCCAGCAGTGAAGGCTGTGAGACGCCCATCTCCAGTTAACCACTGGAAAATCCGAAGTGGCGCTGTGGCTCAAAGTGGTGGAGCGCTCGCCTTGAGCAAAAAGAGCTGGGGGGGGGGGCAGCGGAGTTCAAGCCCCAGGAAGGAAAAAACCCCACGAAACAGAACAAATAGCACGTCTCCAGCGGAATGGGTTTTGTCTCTCTCAGATCTAGCTTTAATTCGGAGGTGTCAAGGTGACCTTGGTCTTCCCAGTCACTCCACAAACACCCGCCCGGGGCCGGGCTCCTCGGCGTCCCGTTTGGAGCCTTGGTTGTCCTCCATCCCCTGACCGTCCTCCTCTCCTTCCCGTCTCCCTCCCCCATCCCCGATCTTTGGACGGGAGGAGAGGGATCGTCCTCCCCGTGACCCCCGCCCCCTCTTCCGGACTAGGGTAAAGAACCACTCAGGCCACCAGGCTGAAAAGTCACGGGCCTCACCGCCTTCCCACACCGAGTCTGCTCGCGAGGCCTGGGTTTCCCGGTGACGCTCCAAATTGCATCCCCTGCCCCCTCTCTCCCCCGGCAGCCCGGCGGCTCTCGGGGTGGGGGGTCAGGTCGGAGTCCCAGAAGCCCACCCAGGGAGAAGCGTGGAGGCAGCCGAGATGCGCGCGCCGGGCGTCGGGCGATCCTCACCAGGCCCTGGCGCCCTGCGCGGTGGCGCTGGGGCCTCCGGGGCTGAAGCCGGCG